TTCAATGAAAATATCAGCAGCTTCTGTTAATGACACAAAAATAGCAGCAGCAGCATTAAAAAGCAGCTGTTATGCTCTGTCCTCTTCTAACGCACGGAACGGTTGCTTGGGACCTCTCAGTCTTACCTATTCACTCGCGGCAATATTTCACTTTTTAAAATTCGACAACCCTAATTCAGGACTGATTTTTCGCAGGCAACCCTATTTTACCGTGTTCATAATTAAATAATCTTTATTTTTAATTAAATTTGATTAAATTATCAGACCGTTGCAAAATCCTACTATAAATTTACCTGTTTAGACCTGGCAACCCGAGAGTTATGACTGGAATACAATAGGCAACCTAACGTTTCCATATTCTATGGGCTTCATACTTTCGATTGAAATGGAATTTGTTTAATAGTCAAACCGGTGAAACATTTGAAAAAATATATTTTTTAAATTAATAATTAGTCATGTTCTGGACTGAAATTTATTAGGCAACCCATACGGAATATAATTATTGACATATTAAATTGAATATAAAATAAGTTTCATCAAATAAGCATCTCGGTGAAGGTCGTTCAAGGCGGGATCTCCTACTATAATTAAAATTATTAACCCATGTCCCATTCAAGCGCATTTTATCATGAAATTAATCACTTTTGCATGAATGTTGAATGTCTAATTCAACGAATATAGAATTATAGAGGCATTTCGATGATTATAAGGCTTATGATTCTGTAATTTCGAATTGTACGGCCACAAATCATAGTTTGTTCAATGTAGGTAGGTATAACTAGTAAAAAAACTTTTTTTATAAATTCCTTTATCTTATTTGTTTTTTTTTATTCTCCTTAATTTTAATTTTAGGGGGTTTTTCTCCATATGGATACGTCAACCCCATCGTACCTTATCTAATTAAATATACTCTGTAAATGCTATGTCACTCTCACCAATTCACACAATCCCTTTGCAAGATAAATCAGTTCAGCCGTTCTCGAGTTTTAGCGAGACTAACGAACAGAAATTCATTTTTATTTATATAGATATGTATAGATTGTATCAGGACATTTGCAAAGAATCCGAAGCAGTTTCAGCATTTAAGTACCGTGAATATTTAATGATAAATTTAATTTGAGTTTTTTTTTTTCATCCAAAAAAAGACTTATGTAGCATTTGTTCAAAATACGAAAAAGCTGACTCGAAAGAAAATTTAGAAGAAGAATTTCGGGAGCACATACAGCGTAAAAAAATATGTCAAGCAGAAAAAGATGCTGACAAAATTCGGGCTAATACAGGTCACTCATTTATGTCCATTACTATGGATTTACAAGCTGTGTGGCATATTTGCCAAGTGGAGGGGAAAGTATATTATACTATATGAGGAAGTTAGTATTGTATAATTTTACTATTTACAAAGCAAAATTTCCAAATAATGCATACTATCTCTGTTGGAGCGAACTAAATGGTAAAAAAGGGAGTTCTGAAATAGGTACGTGCCTCTATTACTTTTTATCAAAAGAATTACCCTAATCCATCAAAGAAATAAGTATTTTTTCTGACACCTGTAGCGGACAAAACAGGAATCAGTACATCTCAGCACTTCTGCTCTGGGCAGTTCAAAAAATCGATCATTTAAATGTAATCGAACAGAAATTCTTAGAAAGTGGCCACATCACATGGAGGTGGATTCCATGCACGCTTTAGACGAATCAGCGTCTAAAAATAAGACAATAAGTAGCGTAAGTGAGTGGAAAAACGTTTTTAAAGCAGTTAGAAAGAAGAGAGCTAAAACTATGACGAAACAGGATGTGAAGGA